TGGCTTTTCTAGCCTTGGAGTGTCTCAGAATCAAGTGCATGTCTCTCCCCCCCCCAACCCAGGGGCCCTTCCTCTCCAGAAAGGAGGACTCAGTGACTCCTTTTCCCAGCTTGGTAGCCTTGACTTAGTTGTCCCTTCTGACCCCCCTTCTGACCCATTTCTGTCTAAGACTGAGCTGCCAAAGGCTCCAGTGAGGGTTCAGCCAGCTGGCCCCCACTCCACAGTGCTCTGCCTGCTTCTGCTTTCTGGGTGCAGGGCTGGGGGGTGGGCAGGCAAGGATGTGCCTCCCCTGGGTTTCACTTCCTTCTGGGGCTCCTCCTCACACCCTACTGAGCCTCTGGCAGGCATGTGTGCCCTTGCTGGTGCTCCCCAGTTCTGCAGCTGTTTGGGGTTCTGTCTTTGCATTTTGTTCTTTTCTGGAGGGGGTGTTGTGGGATTGAGGGTAGAGTGGACAACACAGCAGAGTGAGGATGAACCTTAGTCGTTGAATTCACTTCCTTGTGTCAACAAATGGGGAAATTGAGGCCTAGAGAAAGGGCTTGCCCCAAATCAAACAGTATGCAGGTGGCTGCATGGACTGAAAGCTGGGTCTGTTGAGCACCTCACAGTGTTTCAGCCACAACAGCACCTTGCCTGACCACTCCCTCCTGCTGCCCTGCCCTGCCTTCTTTGGGTTCATGGGCTGATCAAGGGCGTGTGTGTGTGTGTGTGTGTGTGTGTGTGTGTGTGTGTTTGGGAACAGGCTGTCTAGGTGCCTCTGGAAACCCTGAGCTGGATCAGGAGGAGGTGACACACTAGCTAAAAGCCCCTCGCTTCCCCTGGCTGTCTCCCCATCTGTCTGCATTCCCAGCCAGCCTGCCTGCCACCCATCCACAGGAGCTCAGGCCTAGTGAGCACAGGCGCCTGCCCTCTGCTGGCCAAGGTGGGAGGTGCAGCTTCGGCATGGAGCTAGCCTGGGCTGTGGGGTTCTGGCTGCTGGCTGGCCTGCAACAAGGGCAAGAATGGCTTCCAGAGGCCTGAGTTGGAGGTAGGGGGTCGTGGGGGGGGGGGGAGGAGGATGGGGCCGACCCCAGGAGGCTGCTGTCTCTGGCACTCTGCTAGGGTGGGCAGGGGTGAGGCCTGTCAGGTCAGAGCTACTCTGAAACATATATGGCAGCCATGGGAGCTGGCATGGGGGACAGGGCCCAGCCTGTTACCTGGCCCCTCTGTTCTTGACCCACAGTGGGTCCCTCATGACCCATCCATGGCTAGGAAGCTGGGCCAAGCCACCTACAAATGTCTATTAGGGAAGCAGGTGCAGGCTGGGTTCAGCATGGCAGAGCTGTGATTTCCACAGAGCAGAACACATCAACCTGGGAGAAAGGCTGAGGCCTAGAGGCTCAGTACGTCTGCCCACTGCGGGACTGTGTTCCCCTAAACTCTCGTGCCAAAGCTTTACCCCCTAGGACGTCAGAATGTGGCTGGAGACGGAGCCTCTGAAGATGTGACTAAGACACAATGAGGGCTCGAGACTCCGAGTAGAGATTAGTGCCCCTCCAAGGAAAATCAGGTCACGTCATGCAGGAGCTGGCCATGTAAAGACACAAGGCAATGGCGACCTGTAGCCCCATCACAGTTTTATCTCCTAGCCTGGTCTCCTGAATGTGAGCGGACAAGCTTCTGTTGCCCAAGCTCACAGCGCTGGGGTTTGAACCCAGCACCTCCTGCTTGCTTAGCTGGTACAATACCAGTGAGCTATGCCTCTAGCCCCTTACCTCCCTTCTCTGACATTGGGAATTGAATTGATAGCCTTGTGCACGCTAGACAAGCCTTCTATCACGTGATACCTCTGGCCCTTACGTTTGCATTTTTTCCCTTTGAGTTAGCATCGTTCCGTGTGCTATCAGCTGGCTTTGAACTCAGAATTTTCCTACCTCTATCTCCTAAATAGCCGAGATTACCGGCATGCACCTCACTGCCAGCATCTGTGACATTCTGTGACGCAAGAGGCGAACAGGTTGTTTGGAAGTACAAATCCTAGTTTGCACATAGGTGTGGATGGTTTGAGACTTGTATATCACTTTGGATCTCTACTCCAACACACCTGGTCAAAATGAAACCTCTCCCTCCCTTTCTCCCTTCTTCCCTTCCTGCCTTGAAGCCTTGAGGTAAACTGAGACAACCTCATGAGGGGTGTTGGGAGCTCCTGTGGCCCACAGGGGTGATGCCCAGGCAAGAACTGTGGGGGTCCAGTGGAGGATGGTGGGGAGGGGAGGGCAATGGTACTAACAGACTGGTCATGATTGTGATTGAATGAGAATAAAGGAAGGTCAGCACTGGAGGCATGGTTCAAGTGGCAGAGCACCTGCCTGGCAAACCTGAATTCAACCCCCCTAGTATTGTGCACTTCTCCAAAATGGGTTTGCAGTGCATGCTGGCAATTTTAGCACTCAGGAGGCAGAAGGCTCCTGAGGTTGGAGGCTAGTCCAGGTTAAGTAGCAATTAATTCCCTGACTCAGAAAGCAGGCGGGGCAGGCTGATACACAGCTGTAATCTCAGGTAAGTGAGAAGCAAAGGTAGGAAGACTATGGTCTGAGACCATCCCCAGGGCTGGGCTCCAGCATGTTTACCTGAACCCTCATCACAGCCAGAGTCTGGAGTCTGGAGATGCAAGACTTGAAAGGTCAGAGAGCAAGTCCTTCCTGCAATCTCAGCAAAGGTGAGCTGTGGAATGGCATATTTCAGGTTCTAGCTCTCCAGCCTCCAGGACACTGTAATGTCACCCTGCAGTAGCCTCTGTGTGTGTGTGTGTGTGTAATGTAGTATAGGGGTGGAATGCAGTGGTGCCTGATATGGAGCAGGGCTTCTGGAATCTACTTGATGTCCTGTAGGCATGCATGCACGCATCACTGCTGCCACCTGGTGGTCACCTTGAGTCACTGGCCCTGAGCCCAGGCCAGAGGAAGGATTGGACCAACCTTCCTCCAATGGAATCAGGCAGCAGAGCCTGATTCACCCAGCACTGTTCCCCTGGCCAGGCTCAAAGCAGCCATAACCACTAAGGGCAGCAGCCAAGTTTGGGAGATGGGTGATGTCCTTTGGATGGGGGCCCAGCACAAATGCTGTCCTGGAGGGGGTATTAAAGAGGCTGAAGTCCCTGCAAACAACCCAGGAGTTGGAGGGGCAGTGCTCTGGGCAGGTGTCTGCAGCAGGACACTTTAGACTGGACAGCAATAGCAACATATAGTCGTGTGTGTGTGTGCGTGTGTGTGCACGTGTGCGCGTGTGCGCGTGCCACTACTGGTGCTTGAACTCAGGGCCTTGCGCTCTCTCTTAGCCTTTTGACTCAAGACTGAATTTTACCATTTACGCCACAGCTCCAATTCCAGATTTTTGCTGGTTATTTAGAGGTAAGAGATTTGTCTGCCTGGGCTGGCCAGGAACCTTGATCCTCAGATCTCAGCTCCTGGGCGGCGCCTGGTAGTGTGTGTGTACATATATATATATATGTATGTATATATATGTATTTACATACATATATTTTTTATTTTTTTGCGTGGCAGGTGCGGTGCCACTTGTCTTCACAACAGCCATGAAAAGATTATTAAGGAAATGGAGGCACGGGGAGATTAGGTAATTAGCCTAAGTACACACAGCTCAAAGGGGCTGTCCAGGATCGGCTACACCACACCTGAAGGTCCAGTTGCCGGGTACTGACACTGGGTCAGGGGCTGTCAACAGCCAGGTGATAGAGGTCAGCACTTTCCTGCAGGCCCAGCTCTACCCTCCTGCATCCCCTCCTGGGAACCCCCTCCCTCCGTGCCTGGAAAGAGACCCTGCCGCCACTCAAGCCTCTATCAGGAAGCTGGTCCTCTTCCTGTGCTATAGTTATTCTCCCCACCCACCATGCTGTGCGGCCCCATCTTTCCCTGAAGCCTTGGGACTCTCCTCTCTGCAGTGGGCCTCCAGTGACCGACCCTCTTCTTCATTTCAGAGGTAGCAGCTACTGAGATGACTGTCCCTATGGCCCCCTCTCATGTCCCCACGGGGCACCACTTCATCCCCAGCACCCTTGGTGTAGTGGCTTTGGGGAATACTCAGCACAGTGAGGAGCTGTATCCGTGGAGAGTCCCTGCGTTCCTGGTGGATGGAAGGAGGAGTCTTGACCTTTATGAAGTCATATCCCTCTAAAGGGCCCTCTAGGTACCAGGAGAGGATAAGGGGAGCGGACAGGAGAGGCAGCAGGGAGGAAGGGCTTGGGACCCCTCTTTTATGACTTGGTAGTAACTAGCTGGTCCCTGCTTCCACAAGCCTCAGTGTTCCCGCTTGTAAATGGTGGCTTTGCAAACCATGGATTCTGGGGGGCTGCCATGAGGCGTGGGCAGAGCTGTAGTGTCTGCACTCTGGGGTGGCTGGGATGTGTCATCTTGGGGCAATGCCCCTCCCTTGCTCAGGGATGGGACCAGCCTAGGGTGTCTGTTGTGGCGCCTCCCTAAGCCGCCTTCTACACCCAACCAAACATGGAGGGCTAGGCTCCACCTGGCCTACCACACTCCAGCTCCAGGTCATCCCTCAGAGCACAGGATCTGGGTCCTCCCCTCCCCGCTCTCCAACCTGCAGATGGAGTGGGAGCTGCTCACACAGACCCTCCTTCACACCCAAGAGTGCAGGCCAGAGTGGATCTCCATGCTGATCACTGTTCTCCTTGACTTGAACTTCTGGGCAGGAGAGTTGCTCCAGCCCTACTCCAGGCCTCTGCTTTCAACATCCAGGGCTGGGCAAGGAGGTACCCAGAGTAGGGCCTCCTGGGGGCCTGGTGTGCAGAGCACAGATCCAGAACAGTAGCACCCCAAGACCTAGGATCTCCGTAGGGGTCCAGCACCTTGGGCTGTGTGTCAGGGCAGCCAAACTGAGCTTCAGTGTTGTCATCTGCAAAGCAGGGACTGCATGGTTCTGTTCTTATGAGCCTGGCAGTTCATGTAACTGGCTGAGTCAAACCTCAGACTCCACACGCTGCTGCGAGGATGGTTTTCTACCTTTATTTGGTGGTACCAAAGGCAGCTTTCTTGTACAAGAGGACCAGCCAACAGCTGGGCCCTAGGTGGGTGGAGCCCTGTGGAAGGATGGCCACGTCAGTGGTACATGGTGGGCCTGGGCCTTCGGCATCCTCTGGGCCTCACCTGGCTGCCTGGGCTGGCCTCCTCACCACGTGCAGCTTCGTACCTGGACAGTGAGCAGCTCAGCAGGGGCCACCCCACCCTCAACAGCCAGCGAAGCCTGCTGCCATGAGGCAGGGGCTGGGAGAGGGGGGGCTGTAGCATGGGTTCCTCTGTCACCAGCCACTAAGGAAGGGCCTCCCAGGGGGACAACTAAGCAGCCAGGTTGTTGGGGCCTCCAGTTCTCAGCCAGGTCTTAGTGGTTGGTGGGGTGGCAAGGGAGGCAGGAGCAGCCATGATTCTGATGGAGGCTGACCTGTGTCCCCAGTTAAATCTTCTTGTCCCCCAAGGCCCCAGGCAGCATGGCCCAGCCATAGCTAGATCTGCTCCGTCATAAGGAGGAGAGAATGGGGTAACAATACCCCCAAAGCAGCCTTAATACCAAGAGAGGGGAAGAGGCCTCAGCCGGGGTGGGGAGCAGGGGGGGGGCCCTTGGGCTGCGGGTGGCAGGCCCTCGCTCATAAGGCAAACAGCATGTCGTCGTCCTTCTCCTGGGTCTTCCTCCGAGGGGCTGCACCAGGACGGGGGCACGGGGGCCTCTCAGTTGAGGGACTGGCCAGGTTGGGCAGCCGGTCGGCGGCTTTGGCGCGTTCTTCCAGGAACTTGTCAAATTCTGAGGGAGGAGAAGGAGGGTGGGTGGGGCACGCAGAGCTGGGGGAGTGGTGGGGGCCAGGGCGGGACTGCACTACCTTCACTGGTGACGCCTGTGGGCTCTTCTGCATCGTTCCCCTGAGAGTGTAGAAAGAAAGGCGCAGAGGTTAGTAGCTATGGAGCACTGGCCAGTCTATCTTGCAGTCCAAGAGGCAGCCAGGACCTAGGCCTTGACTCATCCTTCTTTGAGCTGCAAGACCTGGGGTGTCTCCTGATCCTTTAGAATGGGGACACTCATGGTTCAAAGCCAGACCGGACAGAAAAGCCGAGGAGACTTTCCTTCAGTTAACTAGCAAACTGCTGGACTGGAGGCATGACTCAGATGGTAGAGACCCAGATGTGACAAAGCAAGTAGAGTGAGTGCAAGAACCATCCTGAGTTCAAACCTTAGTATTGGGACAATGGCAGCAACAACAAAATTTAAAAAATGAAATGAGTCTCAGGCTACCTTGGTGGTTGTTGGAAGCTAAAATGAGTCTCCAGACTGGCACTTGCCAGGGCAGAGGGGCCAGTGACCTCCAGTGGACAATTCCATTCTACTCAAGAGTCAAGAGGGGTAGACCATCTGGCTCCATGGAGGAAAAGCTGACACCCACGGAGGACTGGAGCTCCCCCAAGCTAAAGCTGGGGAGCAGGGATGGGGTGAGGCTTCTGACCCCAGAAAGGTCCAGCTTCTGGGCCCTGCCTAGAGGAATTCAGCCTTGGGGCCCAGCAGGCCCCGCCTCCTTTGTTCCTGGTGCCTGGGTGGGAAGGTGAGGGTGGAGGAGGAGCCCTCAGCGGCGAAGCGGAGTCTGACCCGCACCTCCTCTGCCCCCTGGGGTCAGCAGTGGGGGTTCTGGAGGCCCTCTTTGGGCGCTCCCCTGTTCTGGGACGTAGCTGGGGCAGTGCTGAGCCTGGGAGGGGTGGGGACATTGACACATGTCCCTTCTCAGCAGCTGTTCACCTGGCCCAGGGGACTGTACCATTCTGCTCTGGCCTTGTGGCCATTCATTCTCCATGATAAGAATGGGATGCCCGGGTGGGGAAGGGGAAAGCTGGAACGTACCACATCCGTGGACAGCCACTGCTCAATGTCCTCCATGATTCGAGCCTGGGTGGCAGGGGTCTGGAAAGCAAGGGGCAGGGCAGTCAAGGGTGGAAGCCCCCAGCTGGGGAGCCTGGGGCAGCTGCCCACCCCTGGACTTGGGCATCATTTTCTTTGCTCAGATGGCTATGTGTCCTGCTGGGTTGGAGATCCTTGGATTCCCATCGTTCTCTTCACTGTGCCAGCCTTTGGGTGAGGGTGTGTGTGTGTGTGTATGAGTGTGTGCGCGCATGCAGGCAGGGCCAGGAGACTGGGCAGGAGCGAGGTTCCTTGCAACCAGAGCAAGGCCAAGCATCGATGGGGGCCCTTTACTTTCAAAGGTTCTGACATATCAAGGGGCCAACAGGTGGGGAGGCCATATGTGGTCATGCGCGTGTACGCGCACATGCGTGTACACGCATGCACAGGTGTGGCAGCAGGGTGAGCATTGAAAGCAGCAGCATGCGGTGCCTTGCTTGGGTGGGGAGGGGAGGGGAGGGAGCCTCAGCCCAGGGGTCCAGAGCACAGTGAACAAGCGTCCTGGCATTTCACATAGGCTCCCCGAGGGTGGCCTGAGAAATTTAGGGAGCCAGAGAAGCGGCCATCACAGTTTGGCGTCAGTTTGTGAGCCAGTGGGTCAGTCAGTGGTGCAGGGGCCTCCAGTTCTGGTGTCCACTGCACCATATGTAACCACTGTACTACCCTGTACAGACGAACATGGGGGCCTGCCACACCATCACATCCCAGGGCGTGAAGAGGGAAAACCCGCTGTGTGGTGAGCAAGGCCACCGGCTGCAGAAGTCATGAATTCTGCATGGAATCCCGGACAGATGTGGTGGTCCACAGCGCTGGCTCGATTTCATTTTGTACTTTCTACTTGGAATCATGTTCTGATGGTTAGAGGGACAGCCTTGCTTGCCAGCCAGACTTAAGGCCCTTGTGAGCAAGTGTTTGCTGGTTCTTCAGAAATTGCCCCTGTGCAGGAGGAAGCAGTGACTATTGGGGTGGGGGTGGGGCGCATGTGTGATCATCTGTCAGTTTCCCCTTCTCTGCAGGTGGAGTTGCGGGTGGACTTCCCACAGTGGGCTACTGCAGGAGCTGAGGGAGTCAGAAGACCCAGCACTAGTCCTGCTCCAGGGCTGCCCTGTGCCTGGAGAGGCAGCTGTAGGCTGTGTGGCGACGTATGTGAAGATGAAGATGTGAAGGGTGGGCTGGACACAGCATGGGCTCAAAAAGTGATTGCTTCTGAGGGTGAGAGGAGGCCTAGAGGCCCAGCACATGGGAAACCAGGAGATGCAGGGGTGGGGATGGAGAGCTCCTGGAAGTTACCACATTCTACCCTGGAAAGCTGGGCGGCGTCCCCAGCTTCCTTGGCACTTTCTTAGCTTCCTTCTGGAGCCTTTTAAACGAGAAGTCACATAGATGATCTCCCACACTCGAGACTTTCCAGTGGCTTCTACCTCACCTAGGACAGAAGCCATAGTCCTCTGGGCCTCCCTGAGGTCTCTGGATCCCTGCCACTGTGCACATGTCCTCTCCCCCCCCCCCCTCCCAGCCCTGGCCTGCGAGTCAATCTCCCACCCCCTGCCTCTCCAGCACCTTCCAGTCAGTTCCTCCCACAGAGCTGCTCTGCTCACTGAAGTGGCGGTCCTCACACTGCCAGGTGCATACTCAAAGGGAAAAGGATTGTGCTTGCACTCTCGCCAAGGTGGAGCGTGGCCACGGGGTGCCTGGTGAGGGCACCTGGCTGCCACTCAACCAGAGCAGGGCCAGCGAGCACATGGCTAGAAGCGTGCCGGGGAGTCCGGCATGATGCATGAGGCCCCTCCCTGCCCTCCGCCCGTGCTCTTGCAGGTGACAGGTCTCTGGAGCGCAGTGAGGGGCAGCGACCAGGCACTGGGCACTGCCTGTGACTGAGTCACATGTGGCAGATGTGCATGCTCCCACACAGCCCACTGTACACATGATGGCTGCCAGGTGGAGAGGAAGAACCATAGTTGGAAGGATGGATAAACTGCCTGAGGACCCGCAGCAGGATGCCAGCTTCCTAATGTAGGCTTGGGCTGACGCTGGCTGGCTAAGCAGGGGCCACTGACAACCTCTCCAGCCGTCTCCTTAGCTGTCAATTTGGAATTGATGCATTAGCCACAAAGGGCCAACGTACAAAGGCCCAGCCTTTTACATTTGTATGTGCTGGGCAGGGTTGGGGTGCCAGCCCCCAGCAGGCCCCCAGCGATGGGTAGGTCTTCCCTCCTTTCTTTCTGGAAGATCTGGGTGAACCTGGGCTCCTCTGCTTACCGCACTGGTGCTCTGTTGCCGGGCATCCAGGGCTCCAGCCAGGCCATCTGTGGCTTGGGGGGCTTCATATTTCACCCTGAAACAGACAGCCGTGGCATCAGATGCTGCTTAGCCTCAGCAGACCACCTGCCAGGGAATGTGAGGATTGGGGGGACTGTGTAGGCTTGGTGGGGCCCAGGCAGAGAGGGCACAGGCTGGGGTCCCAACTCTCCTGGGAATGGAAGCAAGGCTCTGGTTCTGCCTCAGGGAGTTAGGCGTGGGCATGCAATCTGTGTGACAGGCATCAGCAAACGCTAGGGATTTAGGGAGGGTGTCTGGCCCAAGGTCAGGAACAAGATCTGATGACTGTGACCACAGCTGGGGGGCTGGGCAGTAGGGCTTTTGAAAGCTTGTCCCTGAGAACAGACAGCGCGTGGGAAGGCTAAGCCCTGCCTCGGTGCACAGGGTACACAACAGGGGCCACAGGGACTCCCCTCTGGAAACTACAAGTGGCTCCAGCACGGAAGTGAGGTGAAAGTCCCCGAGGACTTGCCACCCCTGGGAGTGGGTATGGGCTGTAGGGTGGGGAGATGGACATACTGTGTTTTGTATTCACACCGCTCTGAATTCTGAACTGTCCAATGCTAGCTGCCTGGCCCAGGGGTACGGGCAGGGCCTCCCAATGCGCATAGATCGTGACATGCTGTTACCACTGGCTTGCAGGATCCCTGTCCCGTCCCTGCCTGTGGAGTGTCCAGTTGGTACCCTGACCACAGGGCTCTCCTGGCCACGCTGGGCTGATTTAGGGCACGTGTGCCTTTCCCCCTGGTGTGCCCACCAGCAAGCCAGGTGCAAGCGTCCTGGAAGGGGCTCTCTCCCCAATGGAAAGCCAGCACCTGCAGGGAACAGGTCACTCACCCTTTCCGTTGGTCAGCCAGAGAGCTGCCCCGAGTCAGTGCAAACATGTCAAACTCATCTTCCAGGCGGCCGGAAGCTTCTAGAGACTGCAGACCAGCCCTTACACTGCTGGAGCCCAGGTCTGCAGGGACAGAAAGGCCATGTGCGGGATCCTCCCACTGCCTGCGAGCAGTAGACAGACCCTTTCATGGTTGTGGTGAAGATGCTCCCGTTCTATCTACTAGGGGAAGCCCCTGAGCTGTTAGGATAGAGAACTTTGAGACTCAGTAACTCAAAGTGGGATCTGAGTGATTTCCTAGGGCTGCATGAAATAGGGAGTCATTGATATTAAAAACCAATTCCAGTGACAATGATAACTGCTAACATTTATCAAGAGTGCCGCTGGATGTGGTGTGCATGCTTATAATCCCAGAACTTGAGAAAGCAAGGCAGAATTGTGGGTTCTAGACCAGCCTGGTCTACACAGAGAGACCTCATCTCAAAACTTACTACCTCTTTCCCCACCCAAATGTACCAAAGAGGCTGGAGAAGTAGTTCAGGGATAGAGTGCTTACCTATCACAGACAGGCCCTGGGCAGGTGCAGTCCCTACATCCATCCCCTGCCCTAGCTAGCCCTAATCTCAGCCTGTTCAATGCTCCTGACCCAGGCGCGCTCAGGAGGGCCCATTCCTACCCGTTACTGAGCAGAGCAGCACAGTAAGTTTCAGTGACATACCCAAACCTACCCAGGTGATCTGAGTCATGGAGACTCCGTGGGGAGGGACAGTGGGATTTGTGGGGTCGCAGGGCTCAGCACCTGTGCGATCCCCATGGGTACAGCCAACACTTACTTTCTTCTAGTGCCTAACCCTTAGACAAGATTCAGCTTGGGACCTCCTTGAGGTGGGGTCTGCTGCTGGTGAGGAATGGGACACACCCCTGTGAGGGTGGAGCTGCCTGAGCACTGGAAGGCGCCATCAGCCGAGCCCCACTTACTCATTCCTGCCAGCTGGGATGAGAGGCTGCCTGTGGTTGCAGAGTCAGGGCCCATGTCGATGAGGTCAGCTGCTGGCTCGGTCTCACGTGCAGCCTAGGAGAAGGGAGATGCCCTGCTGCAGCCCCCTTCCTTTTTCCCAGAAGCACTGAGGCCCGTGTGCTCTGCCCTAGAATCTGTCTCCAGGGCCCATGCAGTCTGACTGGGGGTTAGGGAGTTGCTCCCTGGCCGCTTTGGACCCCGATCAGCCACAGCCTTGGGAGGCAGGGAAGTCCCCTGAGGCACTAGCCAGTAGCACACCTATTTCCCTTAAAGGAGCAGTGGCATAAGGAGTCAGAAGGAGACTTCCCTGGAGCCTGGGTGGGAAGAAGCACTACCACATGCAGGGCATCGGGGAGTGGGTAAGAACAGCACCACTGCTTCTCATCAGCACTGAGTCAGACTGCCCCTTACCTTGGCAGTCTGGCCTGTTCGGAACCGTTCAAACCTACAAGACAAAAGACCCAGTCAAAGGGACAGTGAGGCAGGTCCCCAGGTCCAGCCCCTCATCAGAGCTTTTCAAGGATCAATGCAGGGGGTCACCATGAGGGTGACAGGACCTCTAGTGCACACCCATGTCCCACAGGATTGTTAGCAGTGCCCTCTTCATGTGCAGAAGGGTTTCAATCCAAATGACCTACGTGACCAGTTATACAGTCATCTTAGTCACAACTAGGACGAAACGAACAGTAACTTAACGGAGGAGAAGCAGGAAGGGACAACACACAAGCAAGGAACAAACAGGTGTCCTCCGCTACAGACTTCCACACTTGGTGGTGTGGTGGCTCTCCAAGGCGCTGTAGGACAGGTCTCCTGTCTGATGGAGCCTCTTCATGTCTGAGGAGGTAGGTGCGGAGGAGCTGAGGGCTGGGCCTTGGTAAATGTCATCCATCACTTTTATTTTTTCGTTTTGTGCCATGACTGGGGCTTAAACAAGGCCCTGGCCTTGTACTCTCACTTGACATTTTTGCTCAAGGCTAGTGCTATACCACTAGAGTCATAGCTGTCTAGTGTAGAGTAGCAATGGCTGGGACCCAGAAAGCACTGGCAAATGGGGGTCCTGATGAATGGTTGTTGGGGGGACCTACTGGGCAAACAAGCAGGAGAGGCCAGGAAGATGTGACTGGCAGGGTTCCATCCCAATCTCAACTGACTGCAAATCACCAGGCCAGTGTCTATTCATGAGTAAAGACACAAGAAAGGCTCTGAGGGCTCGAGGGGGCTGGCAAAACTAGCACTGTTTTAACAGGGGTACACTGAGCACTCTACAGGCTTTGCTTCCATGACTTCTACTGGACCAGCTCTGTCACAGCACAGGGAATGTGGCAGTCAGAGCCTGTGCAGCCCAGCCCTCCCTGGTAACAGCACCTGAGTACGCCTCCCGGTTCACATCGTCCTGGTGGTGCAGTAATGCAGGGCACAGCAGAACTAAGCCATCAGTCTCTGCTGGGGCCCTGACTCTTGCCCAGGAAGACAAGCCAGACAAGTGTCTAGGGCTGATCCACTTGAGGGCAGTGCCCTGGGGACATAGTCCTGAGGCCTTGCTCTGCTTGTCCCGCTCTGAAAGCTACCTGTTTATTATTATTATTACCATTATTATTATTATTAGCTTATGTGGTACTGAGGAATTGAACCCAGGGCCTAAGCATGCTAGGCGAGCACTCTACCACTAAGCCACACTCCTAGCCCAACTACCTGTTCATTAATAAAGGCTATTCTTCTAGTAAATTCTCTCCTGCTTAACTTGGGCAGGAAGAGCTTATGTAGCTTGCAGTCAGAAAGCTCTTGGCCAGGCACTGGTGGTTCATACTTGTAATCTACCTACTCAGAAGGCTGAGATTTGAGGATCACAGTTCAAAACCAGTGTGGGCAGGAAAGTCTGTGAGATTCTTATCTCCAATTAACCAGTAAAATGCTAGACGTAGAGCTAGCCTCCACTGAAGTAGTAGAGTGCTAGCCTTGAGTGAAAAACTAAGGGACAACAACTAAGCCCTGAGTTCAAGCCTCAAGTCCCACACTAAGTAAATACCAAAATAAATGAATTTGCCCAGGACCAAGTGCAGGTAGAGAGCTAACTCCAGGGAGGGCTGAAGAGGGCAGAATCGGGTCACAGAAGTGCTTGAAGAAGATGGTTCAAGCCATGTGCCTGGTGGCCTGCCGTGTGCTTGACAGGGAGATGAGGCCAGAGGGACAGGGACATGGGAGTGGAGGGCTACCGTTCGTGGCGCAGAAACACGTTGTTGAGGTTGTCGTTAACCATGAGCAGCTCCTCTGTCAGTTGTTCGTTGGAGATGCGTGGGATGAGCTCCAGGACCCGCTGCTGCATGGCTCGGCATGTGCGGTTCAGCTCCTGCGGGGGCGGGGGGGGGGGGGAGGGAGATGCTGGTCACACGGCCTAGCAAGGCTGTCCTTACTGAGGGGGCTTGAGCCGAGGCCTGCTCTGGAGGAGGGCCAGTTTCTAAACTGGCCTTTGGGAGTCTACGGAATGGCTCTGCAAACATTTGAATTTCACTTCCCAGTGGTTTACATAGAATTAAAGGACTCAGTTAATTTGAGGTGGTGTTCCATTAGGTTGTCCAGGCTGGCTTTAAGCCAGGATGTCCTGTCTCAGCTTCCCAAGTAGCTGAGATTTGAGGCACTGCACCTGGCTCTATGCTAATTTGTTGTTGTTGTTGTTGTTGGTTGTGGGGCTTGAACTCTGGGCCTGGGCGCTGTCCCTCAGCTCTTCAGCTCAAGGCTAATGCTCTACTTCTTGAGCCACAGTGCCACTTCTGGTTTCCTGGTGGTTAATTTGAGATAAGAGCTCACTGACTTCCTTGCCTGAGCTGGGCTTGAACTATGATCCTCAGATTTCAGCCTCCTGAGTAGCTAGGATCACAGATGTGAGCCACCAGTGCCCGGCTGATTTCTTTCTTTTAATAAACATGTTATTTTGGAATGATTTTAGACTGGCAGAAAAGGTGCAATGATAACATACAGAGTTTCCATGTACTCTTCACCTAGGCTAAGCCAGTAACACAGGCACAATACTATTAGCCAAACTATGCGCACTTTATTCGGTTCCACCTGTTTTTCCTCTGTTCCAGATTCCTACCCTGCCTTTAGTTACCTTTGATCATATTTAAAGTTGTTTGGGAAAAAGAGGAAGAAATTGGAAGCCACAGTCTTAGACTGATCCTGGTAAGCCTGGCTATTTCTTTCCTCAGGCACCTGCTGCTGGGTGAACAGGTGCCGGGTCACGGCTGCTGGCCTGGCTGACTACTGCCATACACTAGCGCACTTCGCTCCTGGAGAGATCATCAAGTCTAGGCTAGGCTCCAGTGTTTGTTTTGACTAATTGTGGACCCTGCTGACCTTCCCTCTCGAGGCCTTTGGGGTTTCTTCATCTGCTGCAGTCCCAGGGCAGGGCAGGGCAGGGCAGCTCAGGATGGCTTTCAACATCCTGGGGCCTCCCCTTTTCTTCCCATGACCACTCTGTTTCCGCTTTCATGCTGGCCACTCACAAGAGCAGAAGGGCATGTTTGAAGTTGGTTCCCGTGGATTAAGTCCAGCTCTGGCTATTTGCCAGCCACATGACCCAAGATTACTTGTAATATTGCTTCACTTTGCCTCAGCTTTCTGACCTGAGAATGGGCATGATAAAAGGTTCTACTGAGGGGCTGGGAAGGTGGTTCAGTGGTAGAGCACATGCCTTGCATGCATGAGGCCCTGGATTCGATTCCTCAGCACCACATAAGCAAAAAGAAAAAAGCCAGAAGTGGCGCTGTGGCTCAAGTGGTAGAGCGCTAGCCTTGGGCTGAAGAGCTGAGGGACAGCGCCCAGGCCCAGAGTTCAGGTCCCACAACTGGACCAAAAAAAAAAAGAAAAAAAAGGTTCTACTGAATGTGTATCACATATGTAGAGAGAGCCTGGCACCTGGGGAGTACCCATCACCTGGGAGCTGTTACCGTGCCAACTCTGCCGGCTGGCTCCAGTCTCCGAGTCCCCCCAGACCACCCACCCTGCATGGCTTTGCACAGTAGCAGTTCAGATTTACCACCTTTTCTAATCCTCAAATGCACGAGTCCTTTAACCTGACATTCCTGCTTTACTCCCCACCTCCACCCCTCCCGTGTAGGCACCCCTGAGCAAGTCAGCTTGTTAGTCATAATGACATGGAGACCTGCCCTTGAGGTCTCAGGCCTGGTGGGAGGGCAACACAAAACCCGAAGAACACACTGAGCACTCCGCCCCTCAGGGCTTCTGGCGACTCTGGGCCTTGGTTGGGGGGTGGTTTCTAGTTTTCTCCATGTCTCTCCTATGTAGTGTCCTCCAAACACAGCCTTTTCTGCTCTAATGGGTCTTCAACTCAGGACAGGATCATGGGAATAACATGACACACAGAAATGAAAACTAATAGTTCCCACCTGCCTTACCTAGCTATTTGCTTATCTTTTTTTTTTTTTTTTTAGTCAGTCGTGGGGCTTCTGGGCTTGGGCGCTAACCCTGCACTCTTCAGCAAAAGGCCAGCACTCTACCGCTTGAGCCACAGCACCACTTCTGGTTTTCTAGTGGTTTATTGGAGATAAGAGTCTCACAGACTTTTCTGCCCAGGCTGGCTTTGAACCGTGATCCTCAGATCTCAGCCTCCTCAGTAGCTAGGATTACAGGCACAAGCCACCGAGCCACCAGCGCCCGGCCTATTTGCTTGTCTTAAAACTCACTCTGTGCTGGGTACTGGTGGCTCGCTCACACCTATAATCTTAGCAACTCAGGAGACAGATCTGAGGATTGTAGTTCAATGTCAGCATAGAAAAACAGATCTCTGAGATTCTTATCTTCAGTTAACCAGCAAAATCCAAAACTGGGGTGCTGGCCTTGAGCATAAAAGCCGAGTAAGGGTATAAGGCCCTAAATTCAAGTTCTAGTACCAGCATAACACAACGAAACAAAATAGGACAAAACGAAAGAGACACCCCACACCGCTCCATCCTTCCTGCTGCCCACGTGCAGGTTTTAAGGGTGAAAGTTCCATGTCCAGAATTCATACACATGAGGAAATTGGAGCAGGAGGTACTATTTTGTTCAAGCCAGCAAGTAGTATAGCTGAGATCTGAATTCTAATCAATTTGAAACAGTCCAAAGTCCCTGTTTACAATGCCTTCCACTGCTGCAGGAATTCCAAGTGAGCCCTGAAGATTGCCCTGTGGGCTGGGGAGAATTTGTATGTGGCAGATAGGAAGGGCGCAGCAGGGCCTGACGGGAAGCTTTTGGCTCACCTGTAGCAGCTCCAGGTCTGAGGGCTCGGCCTGGGTGGGCACCAGCTCCGTCAGCATCTCCGACATCACCCTCACATTCCCGTTCACCATCTCCAGCTCACTGCGCAGCTTCCCGATCTGAAACACCACGGTGAGGAGAGAGAAGCTGGGATCTGGAGCCCCTGCTGCTCCCAAGAACAGAGCCTGGACCGATGGTCGGGTAGAGCCCCCAGGAGCCTCCTCACCAGCACCCTCTCCGAGCAGCCTCCCTCCCAGCTCCCAGGCACAGCGTGTGCTCCATCAGAAGCCAGCACAGGGCTTGCCATGCCCCACCACCCTTCACAGAAGCTCTACCAACCATGGCCATCTCCACACCAGGAGCTGGATGCAGGAAGAAGCTAAAAAAAGTGTGACAAGCTGAGGGGAATGAGCCACTGAGTGTGGCTCCTGCTAAGGTGGCAGTTAATGAGGCCCTGGGGGTGAAGGGTCCTCCGAGGGAAGAAGGCGGCTGCAGGCGCCTGTTCTCCCTCTCTCTCTCTCTCTCCTAGGAGGACTGAGATTCGGTTTTACTTCTGTTTTTTTTTTAGTGGCTCAGGAGGGTCCTAAGGCTGCCACCAACTCTGAGCAGGAAAGATTCCCTTGCTCCAATGGTCAAGAGCCGCCCAAGTCTTAGGCCTGGGGAAATATTGCCCATGAAGCTGCAGTGTCCTCAGAGGTGAGCGTGAAGAGGCCACTGTGTGGTGTCTATGGGGTGAGCGCTGGGCACTCCACGCATGACCAGGACGGCACCAAGAGGGGGTTCCCAACATTTTGGCCAGGTTGTTTCCTTAAGAACATTTCTTATCAAGTCAGCTCATGGGTCTAGCAGCCAGAGAACTATATTTTGAGAAATGCAAGTATATTCTACATTGTGTGATGAAGTTATAATTGATTTCAGAATATTATTATCAACACTATGCAAAAGCATGATTGTGATCTATTGACTTTGTTTTGGTGCCAGTCCTGGGGCTTGAACTCAAGGCCATGGTGCTGGCTGAGTGCTTTTCTTCAAGGCTAGTGCTCTACCACCTGAGCTACTGTGCCACTTCTGGTTTTTGAGTGGTTAATTGGATTAAGAATCACATGGGGACTTGTCTGCCATGGCTGGCTTTGAACCATGATCCTCAGATCTCAGCCTCCTAAGTAGCTAGGATTACAGGCACATGTGTGCACAGGTATCCTCATGTGCCGGGCTCCACTCCAGCCTAGCCACATGTTGAAGTGGACAGTGACAGTATCAAGCTGCTGGCATGGCCATTGATGTGCCTCAGAAGGCAGAGTGGCTTGGTATACCACAAACAGCTCAGAGCCACCAGACCAGCTGTCACTCTTCCAGCTGCAGGAGGAAACTGAGACTCAGAGAAAGCTTCAGCATGCTGCTTGGACCGAGGTAGGCAACCCTGCAGAGCTAGCTATGGGGCAGAAAAACTAGACTCTTATGCTGAGTCTCAAAGCTTTATGGGGCTTTGTGGGAAGCACCCAGGGGCAGTCCACGTGCTATTATTTGTATAAATGTTTTATAACTGTTTCTGGTCAGAACCCCAGTTCAAGTGAAACAGCATGTTATGCAAAGTGGAAGGGAGCACCTGGCGGGCACTTCCTCTTCATGGTGCTGCCCAGAGGACTCCATGAAGACCTGCTCAAGTCAGATGAAGTACAGGACAGTGCCTGCGAGGAGTCACACAGACTTGAGCTTGAATCTCAGCAGACTCAGACGATCTGTGTGACTCTGGCTGAATGAAGGTACCCCTCTGAGCCTCACTCTAGGGGTTGCTGGGATGATGAAGGGCAACTCCACACACAGTCGTGTCTGTACTGTCAAGGGCCCCTTCCCAACCCAGACTTCTGCCCAGGCCTGTCTGTACCTGCTCGGGGGTTGGTGTGATGGGTGTATCGTTAGGAAGTATGGCCGGGGCAGGCGGAGGGGCAGTATGCTGGCTCAAGTCTCCTCGCTGGCTGGTGTCAGAGCCCACGGAGTTCTGTCCTGATGGTGTCTCTGATGTGAACACGGTCTAGGGCAAAAGACAGCTGATAAGGTCTTGTGGGAGGGGCCGCAGGCTGGCTTGCCCCCCACCCCCCCACCCCCCGCTTGCTAGTGGTCTACCCCTCACCCTTTGAGGGGTGTGGATGGGCGACAGCATGTCCAGGTCAGTCATGGGGAACTCCAGGCCCTTCCTCCGCAGGTCCTCGTAGACGGCAACGACACCTGTCAAATCGGGCGAGCTGCGGAACGCGTCAGCCCAGGACTGAGAGGGACAAGGGGACATGGCCGGTAACCGCTGCTCACCTTCTTCCCTGGGAGCCCACCCCATCCCGGCACTCTCTCTGGGAGCAGAAATTCGTCCCGACCTCTTGCTCCTTGTTTTACATGCACAAGCCTTACTGCACATGTATGGTGACCATCCGGCCACTGGTCACCCCAAAGGGAAATCCAGCTCAGGCACAGCCCCCGGGGAGGAAGCAGTACCCGCCCCGCCCACCCGCCCCCCCTCACCCCAGCACGAACCTGGATGAGATTCAGCACCTTATCGTGCACGATGGTGGGGGGGTTGTTCTTGGGCAGGATGGTTCTCACGAGCACGCCCTCCACGAAGTCCTGGCTGGCCACCAGCACGTGGAAGCGGTGCCCGCAATTCTTCACACATGTTTCCAAAACCTGGAGGGCAAGAGGTGCGTGAGAACAGCCTTGGCGGAGGACAGGAAGTGTGCGGCCACGTGGAGGCCCAGCAGAGGGCAGGGGACATCCCCAGACAGCCCCTGGAGGAGGGAGGGCAGGAATCCTGGGTTTGGCGACTGCTGCCAGGTGAGAAGTGCCAGAACTTCCTCCCCCAGGGTCGTCGGCACTGGGTCCTGACTGGCCTGGTGTGGAGGCGTGGCGGCTCCCCAGTGGAAGTCGAAGACAGCCTGAGCTTTCTACTAGTCCATGTTGAGGTGGAAGACTGGCCCTTGTGTTCCCTCCCATTGCCAGCCTGCAGGAGTTCCCTTGCTTTCCAGTCCAACTGGACCTACTGCTGTGGGAGGGCTCCTCACTCCCAGCCCAAGGTCCTGAGGTCAGCATGCCCACCAGCCTGGCCTGCCCATAGGGCAGGCTTCAGTGTTTTTTGTTTTTTTTTTGGTCAGTCATGGGGCTTGAACTCTGGGCTTGGGCGCTGTCTCTACGCTCTTCAGCTCAAGGTGAGCGCTCTACCGCTTGAGCCACAGTGCCACTTCTGGTTTTCGAGTGGTTTATTGGAGATAAGAGTTTCACAGACTTTCCTGCCTGGGCTGGCTTTGAACTGTGATCCTCAGATCTAGCTTTCTGAGTAGCTAGGATTACAGGCATGAGCCACTGGCACCCGGCTCTGGCTTCAGTGTTGACTGCAGTGAGTACTGTTAAAATGTCAAAGTGCTAGGTAGTTCCTAGTTTCCCTGTGCCTGTACAGGCCACATCCCCATTTGGCCTGAGTTTACTGAGCCTTTGTCACCTGGCAGGCTCTTTAGCCTGGGTAATTCACATCAGTGGTTTTGGAGGGAAGTGGCCTCAGCCATCCGCTCCCTATACAGGGGGCGGGGAGGACTTTCCTGGACAGCTTCTCTCTCTCTTTTTTTTTTTTTTTTGCCAGTTGTGGGGCTTGAACTTGGGGCCTGGGCACTGTCCCTCAACTCTTCAGCTCAAGGCGAGTGCTCTACGGCTCCAGTCACAGCTCCACTTCCGGTTTTCGAGTGGTCTACCAATGGTGTGACAGGACAGACTTTGCCCATGGCCTTCCTGCCTAGCCCTTGAATGAGGAGCCAAGGGCGGACATGAGTCCCATGTGGCTTTCAGGAGACGGCTTCTGCCACTGGACTGTCTGATAGAGGGATGGAGGGACGGACAGATGGAACGACAGGCACTTACTGTGAGGGCCAGCATCACCTCATGGAAGTTCTTATTGCCCACGATTCTCTTCTTCACTGCTCGGAAGGCATCTTTGGGGCTGGGCAGAAGGAAAAAGGCAGGCATGAACACTTCTTCCTCAGCATTGGAGACACAGTATGGAAACTTGGAGGGGGCTGGCCCCCTCCCTGCACAGGCTGTGATCCATGTCCTGCTGCCCCTCCCCAGCCTATTCAGGAGGAGCCCCTGCTCCAGGCCCACTTTGTTGCTAAAGTATAAGAATCTAAGCCCCCTCCTGGAGCACTCAGGCAAGATTCCTAGGGAGGGGTTTGGGGTCTGCAGCCTTCTCATACCCCAAGGGGCTTCTCTGTCCAAGTGGAGACAAGGCTGAGAACTACTATTGTGCACAGTGGTCTAATAGCCCAGCCTGGCCAGCTAATCTGCCCAGTTATCCATCTCTCTCCACTCAGGTCTTACCAAGTACCCATGTGGGCACCAGGCTAGAAGCTGGGACAAGAGGCAAACAGACACCAGGCTTTTTCCCCAGGGATCTTGAACTCCAGGAAGACAGAGGTATTTGAAGGGGAAAAAGCAAGTTCCTAGAGAGGAGTATGTGGGAACAGTGAGCACTTCTGAAGAGGTGGCCTTGTAACCGAGCCCTGAGAGATGGAAAGGATGGGGAGGGGCCAGCAGGGCAGAGCAGCCTGGGCCATGCCCTGGGATGGGAGGAGGGAGCAGGAGGAGCTGTAGAGTGTGGAAGAGAACCAGGACACTCAGGGTCACAGGGGAGGGCAGATGCCTTAGAGTGCAACAACAGGAAGCCTATGGCTGCATGCTCTTCCTCCACCTGTGCTGCACCACCGCCACCAGCCTCAGCTCTGCACAGGTGGAATCAGCGATGCCAGAATGTTCAGGCCCTGCTCCCATCCTCCATGTCTCTAGTAAAAGACCTACTCCTATATGAAGCTCCCCCAGTCTCTAGGTGTCCTGGTATGGGACGCTAACCCTGGCCGCCCTGGTGGAGAAGGGACAATCCTCCGGACCCCTTCTCTCAGCAGAGCCTGGAACACTGCAGGAGCACTGATACTTGTCTAGGCTGGTGAGTGGCCTTTTGGATCTGTCCTCTCTCTGCCTGTTGAGGGCTCCATTGGGAAGTACAGGTCTGACCTAGGTCCTGGACAGGAGTACAGGCAGAAGCATGGCCTGGGGAAGCAGGTCCTGCATGGGGTGGCACTGAGGAGGGGCTAGGACTGCAGTGGAGGGGATAGGGCAGGCAGCAGGTTGGGGGGGTCTGGTCCAGAAGAAAGAATTATTTCTGCCGGAGCATTCCTGGGGCAGCTCCTCACCCCTCCTGGAGGCAGGACTATGTGTAAAGGCATTGGTCTTCGACGGCATTGTTGGGAAGCTATGGAAATTGAATGAGGTGGGCGTAGCGGGAAGTCTTTAGGTCATGGGGATGGTCATGCCCCTCCTCAACCTTTTCCTTTGTTTATGGTACTAGGGGTGGAACCCAGGGTCTTGCACCTGCTAGGCAAGTACTCCACCACTGAGACGTATCACCAGACCTCCTCACTCTTCTTTTGCTTCCTGGACATGAGTTGAGCGGTTTGTTCTGTCGTGTACCATTGCTGTGTTGTGCTTGCTTGCCTCTCCACAGGTCCAAAGCGACCTCTGAAATTGTGAGTCAAAATAACCCCTTTTTCCTTTTGAGCCGATTACCTCAGGTAGTCAGGTGGACCACTTCGGCATTCTACTGGGACTTGTTTCAGATAGTGGAAACGGTGCTGGAAGTGGACTGTGTGCCACTGCTGTCACCTGCTATTCGGCTACAGCACAGAGTGTGTGACAAGCAAGCACAGTGTATGACAATGTGGAGACTCCACTACACACTAAGGTTTAGATAATGAGCTTGGTGGGAGTCAAAGGTCATGCCTGCCTTTGCCCACTGCTGGGTCTCAGATGCTGCGTGCAGTGTCTGGAAGATCCAAGGTGGCGTGGAGCCTCAGCATGGCTGAGGATGGTTCTGGTGGGGCCTGGCCACCACTGCCCTCTCCTCGTGGACCCTGTCTTGCTCCAGTGGGGTATACTTGTCTCCCACCCCTCTGCACACACACAGCCCCACCTGGTGGTGGGGAGCACTCTACACTGGTGGGAGACAGTACAGAGAGGAAAACGGGGTCCTGCTCCAACGGTAGATTCTTTTACCAGAATGGAGGCCTCTGGCTGCATTTCTTCCCAGTTGTGGCCACACTCTCACAGATCCTTCCTGGATTTCCTGTGATAATAGTGACCCTCATGTCCCCTCTCTGCTGCCCTTAGGCACCCAGGCTTTTGCTAAGCTTTGCCTTTGAGGATGAAGACCTAGAGAGGTAAATGATCTTGTCCGAGGGCTCCTCACATGGTTGGACAGCAAACAACCAGAGGTCAGAAACTTAGACCCAAGGCTTCCCCACACCCAGTGCCCTGGCAGGGTTCCTGGGCACTGGGCAGAGCCATGGCTCACATACTGAACTTCCCAGTGGATGCCAGCTCTGATTGGTCCCTCTGCTCTGCTTCCCTGTTACTGCCTTCCACATGCCCTCTTCCTGCCCTGCTGGTATCAAAGCTGAGTGGAAGTGTGCTGCTGTTTACTGAAAAGCTGGCCATCCCAAAAGCACAGTCTCGTCCCCTTGGAGCGCAGAAGAGCAACGGGAGACCACCTCCTCATTATGAGAATTCCCAACTGGCTTTGTCCCCGAGGAGTTGCTGCAGCAAGCTCAGATCCAGGAGGCCTGGGCTGCTGCTGGGGTGGCAGCACAGGGAGGGGCTAGCTGGCCAGCTCTCTACCCCAGGGCTTTAAACTTATATCCACAAGTGTCTCATCTGCTTGATAAAGGGAATGGGCTGATCATGGTCCAAAAAGGTTTAAAATGTTACAGTATGGTGGGGTCAACTTGGTGGCGACAGTAGCGGTGGGCTTGGGTGGAGTTCTGGCTGGAAGCAGGTGAGTCAACACTGCTGTGGGCTGTGGGCAGCAATGGCAGACCATCCCCGCCTGTGTTCCTCAAACCTCTCTTCCAAGGGTCCTCACCCTTCCTCGGTTTCGTTGATAATGTCGCAGATCTCCATGTTGAGGGCCCAGTCCTCGCTCTGAAGGGAGCCATCTGTAGCTTTCTCTGAGAAGAAGAAATCATAAATTACATGGGTGTTGGAGTCTCAGTTGGACACAGGAGAGCACAGAGTGTGATGTAATTAGTCTTCACTGTCAACTTGACTAGACTGAGAGACACCCAGTGGATTAGCTAAGCACATCTTTAGGTATTTCCAGAGATGATCTAATGATCATGAGGGCTCTGACCTAATCAATGGTTTGCTTTGATGGGTTAAAGATGTGAATAGATAGTTGGGAGGTGGAGGAAACTGTGGAAGGGGGGACCTAGCTGAAGGAAGGGGTGAGTGGGAGGGGGTGTGTTTCTGAAGGGTGGATTTGCTTCCTGGCCGCCATGAGATGAGTAGACTCTCCCCCTTGTCCCTCCCTTCTGTGATGTTCTGCCTCAGCTTAGGTCAAAGCAATGGATCCAGCAGACAGGCTGAAACCTCTGAAACATGAGCCAAAACAAATCTTTCCTCCTTCAAGTGATTTTTCTCTGGCATTTCTTACAGCAATGAAAAGTCTGACACATTAAGAGGTAGGGTGCAGGGCAGGAAGACAGAGGGCAGAAGACAGTGGAACCCAAAACAGGCCAGTTTTACCAAAATAATTGAATTTGTTCTTGGGCTCTCTACTTGCCATGGGAGGCTGAATGGAACCCTGTCGTTGCACAAATGAGAAAACCTTGGCTTAGAGTTCCACAAGTGGATGATTAGGACAAGAACTGGGACCGGCTTAGCCTCAGGAGGCTTGTTTTTCACATGGTGTCAGAGGGAGCATTTAAAAATTTTTTTTTTTTTTTTTTGGGTCCGGTCGTGGGGCCTGAACTCTGGGCCTCAGCTCTTCAGCTCAAGGCTAGCGCTCTACCACTTGAGCCACAGCGCCACTTCCGGCTTTTTCCTTTTTGCTTATGTGGTGCTGAGGAATCGAACCCAGGGCCTCAGGCATGCAAGGCAAGCACTCTACCACTGAGCCACCTTCCCAGCCCTAAAAAAATTTTTTTATAAGATCACAACATATATAAAATCACATCTTGAAAAAAAAAAAATATAATCTTCAGAGACAGGATCTCACTTTGTAACTCAGGCTGGCCTTGAACTCTCAATCCTGTCTCAGCATCAGTCCTCCTGCCACACCCATTTTATGTTTTGAGTTGGTAACATTCACATGGTCCAAAATGTAAATCATGCTAAGCTGGAATGCAATGAAGAGTACATCCTGCCACTCCCCAGCGGGTGCACCGTAAAACAGTTTTCTCCATCATCTCCCAGGACATGCCATACCTAGGGAACAAAGACTACTCCCAATGGATCACCCGGACTCCTGTCTCTCTCTCTCTCTTTTTTTTTTTTTATTGTGAAAATACTGTATAGAGGGGTTACAATTACATGGGCAAGATAATGAGTACATTTCTTACCAAGCATTGTAGCCTCCTCCTTTGTTTCCCTTTCCTATCCCATCCCATCCTCCCCCGCCCCCCCACCCAATCCTCCCTGCCCCCCCCCCCCCACCAAAGTAGTAAAGTTCGTTTCCGACATAACGACTTGTACATCTCATTGTTGCAATGGGTCTACCTATATCCCTATTTAAACGATTTGTTTTTCCCTTTCCCCTCCACAAATTATACCGACATCAAATACAGTGAAAGCAGGGGTTATACTGTGGGGGAGGGCTCCTGTCTCTTTTTGAGCCATGGTTTCTGTCTACAGACTGGCAATGACTGCTGGTGACTCCCCTTTTAGTTGATGTGAAAATCACACCACCTAAAATGAGCCGTCTTAAAGCTACAGTTCAGTGGTGCTTGGTAGTCACAATGCCGTGGCACCACCACTACTTCTGTCTGTCTCTACTACACTCATGCTGGGATGATTCTTGGCTGAGAGTTCCACATGAGGAGTCTCAGGGCCCCTCAAGGCCAAGGGCAGCAGGGCATGACGGCACACACTGAGATTCCACCACTCAGGAGGCAAAAGCAGGGAGGACTGAGAGTTCAAGGCTAGACTGGGCAACACAATGTGTTTGAAGTCAGGTAGATAGCTAAATCCAGGATCTTTGTTGAGCTATGGTCTGGCACCTTACCTCTGTGAGCTCCAGTATGAGGCACTGAAAAGTGCTGGTGAGTGACAAATGCAGGAATGGACTGTGCTAGAAAGTTCATAAATGTTTTCTATGAATGAAGTACCACCCTTCACTTACATGCAAGGCACGTAAGTCAGTCCTGTATTAAACTCAGAGCCTGAGTGCTCTTCCCTGAGACTCTTTGTGCTCAGTGTACTCTACCACTTGAGCCACAGCACCAATTCTGGCTTTTTCTGAGTAGTTTACTGGTGATAAGAGTCTCACAGACTTTCCTGCCTGGGCTGGCTTTAAACTGTGATCCTCAGATCTCAGCCTCCTGAGTAGCTAGGATTACAGGAGTGAGCCATCAGTGCCTACCTATAAGTCAGTCCTTCTAACCACAAATACCCACTGTCCTTCCACTTGCACAAGCATCTAAGTCAGTCCTAACCACAGACACCCACTGTCTTTATACCATCTTGAGATGTGTCCTAACGCAGACCAGTCTGGCCGCACTGCCCACAGACACTTCTGTATCCTGCTTCCACAAGCTACTTTCCATCCTATCCAGAACCTGCATGCATTCTCAGAGGTGGTGCTACACATCTGCCTCTGTGGCCATCCTGCTGGGCTCAGCGCACCTGCTGATAGGCCAGTCTGGCAGGCGATTCCTGTCCTGCAAGGCTCTTTTGACAGCATTGGGTGAGGGATTGCTCACTATGGCCCAGTCATTTATATGCTAGGCCCATTCTAGGCACTAGGACACTTGGTAGACAAGAAGGACACGGTCTCAACCCTATGCTGAGACTTAAGATAGACTTAAGAACATTTTCCACCCAGGTCTGTCAAAGGACAAGGAGGATCAGAGGTCTCTGTGTGACTGTGGGAGACTTGCTTCTCCAGGCTGGTGGCCCATCCAGCAGCCATGCTCCTGGCAGGCTGGGTGGCATAGTCTGCCCTGTGGCTTCTGAGCCCTTGACTTTGAAATTAGCCTGGCTTTCAGTCCTACCAGTGGATCCTGCATTCAGGACACAGGCCAGGCAGCTGGAGCAGAAGGGCGGTTGCTTTACCTCTAGATTACAGTCAGGGTAGGAGACTAGGAAGGTCTTCCTTCTGTTGAAAGACAGAATCCTTCCGACCATAGACCTTTGCTGGTGCTGGCTTTCCTGTGCTCCACTCCCCAATTTCACGGACTCACATGGAAGAACCAGCTGTGCTGAGCAGTGTCCGCTGAGCAGGGGTAGCTGTGGACAGACTGGGGCAATGGCTACTCAAACACCAGAGCCTGCTCTTCTTCTGTTGGCCACACCTCGGTCACAGCGGGTCCAGCTTGAGTCTTTCACTGGGTCCTTCCCCGGCTGCCCCCAGCTTCTCCCGTAGATCGTGCCTCAGCCTCCTCCCTGCTCCTGCCTCACTCCACCCACTAATGTCCATGCTGCCCCAGGGACCAAGTCTGCCTGGGCCCTACAACTTGCAGAGTCCCCCTGTCCTCAGTCTGGCCTTACCATACCTAATATTTAGCTTCCCACGTTATATCCCCCATGACCTCCAGCATCATTAGCTGTTCATATAAAGACTGAGATTAATGCTCACCCCAAGAGGTGAACATTACTACCGGTAGAGGACTGAACCTTGAGATGGGGGCATCTACCAGTGGCGTGGTCAGACTCCTAGCAGTGCGTGCGCTGCCCGCCTCCCACAGGGGCCGGGGGTTTCCACATGGCCAAGTGTCTTTCCTGACCCCCATGTACTTGGCTCTCCCTAACCCCAGTCACCTGCTTCCTGCAAGCCTCTCAGGGGTTGCCTGCTCAGCCCCTCAGTGCTGCCTAGGGTACCCTGGAAAGCAGGGGTACCTGTCCTCCCCAGGGAGGTGGCCAAGGTGCTGAAAGGACCCTGGTGAGTCAGTGGGTGTGGAGGCCAGGCCAGGCCACTTAGGGGGAGCCACGCAGAAGCTGGAGATGTGGGGGCCAAGCTGAGGGACTTCCTCCTAACAGTAAGGGCCTGTGTGTGTGTGTGGACACGCACACACACACGTATATGTGTATGTGTTTGTATGCCAGTACAGGGGCTTGAACTGAGGCCCCCTACTCCCACTTGGCTTTTTTGCTCAGGGCTGGCACTGTACTGCTTCACACTGGAGCCATACTTGCACTCCCAGTTTTTGCTGGCTTTTTTTTTTAATTATTGGCTCACCTTAGTTACATGGAGGACTTGGTTATCACGTATTGCTGACGCTGTGTTCTTATCCGTGTCACCCCCTCCATCACACTCCCTTAAGGACACAGTTTTAAATGTACAGGAACCTGAGGATATGGGCATGCTCTGTGTTAATTGCCAAAGCAATTCAGCTTGCTGTTTTAAGGAAGGGAATAAAAATGCTGCTGATGGTCATGAGTGATTCAGAGAAAGAAAACCGACTCCCTGACTGGGAGCTGTGGGCCTTCACAGGTGGCTGACAGGGAAGCGCCCTGGCCCCCAGCCGTGTGGCAAAGCGTGGGGGCTGACGGCAGACCTCCGCTGACGTGTGGTGCTTGCTGCGGCCCAGGGCTGGCAGAGTCCGATGGTTTCAGGTCACTGGGCACCTGTCTGTCCAGCACCTTACCCCTCTCTGCATTGGGCCTGGTACAGACCTGTCCTGCCCAGGAGGCTCCAGGTATTCTGCCTGGCATGAGGCCTACAGCTCTTCCCTAATGTAGATTTAGCCTGCTTGGTCTCCTCTCCTAACTCAGGCCACCAGGAAGGCCCAGCCCTCCAGGTCCCATGTAAGATCAGGGTGAGTCTGCCTGCCTGCCTGCCTGCCTGCCTGCCTCCGTGCCTGCCTCATGGTGGTGACTTTTGACTAGTCCGTGCACCAGTGGGTGGAGCAGGGATGAGCCACAGTGAGGCCCACTGTGACTCAGCCAAGGGGAGTGCGCGGCCACCTAACACCACCATCACCTAGCTGCACTTCAAGGGGCTGCTTCTCTC